ATGGCATAAAGACTGCCGGGGAGACTTGGAAGAATATTACCTTAGAAGTCTTAACTGTACATGAAATGACATTGTATCACTTGAAGACAGGCTTTAGACAGGATGCATGATGTAAGATATAGATATGTACCCTCTATGGATACAAAATACGTATCATATATATTCATATACACCAGTGCCTTATATAGATACATAATATATATCATGTAACTTGCATCATAAAACTCTTACCACATATATGATGTCAACTCTAAAGCAACGGTGAAAATAACAAAGAATGGGAGAGCATAAGGCAATGCAGGAGATAAAATAGAACCTTAAAAACTATTCAGTTAAGCTTAAAACAATTTTTTTAATGTTTATTTATTTTTGAGACAGAGAGAGACAGAGCATGAATGGGGGAGGGTCAGAGAGAGAGGGAGACCCAGAATCCGAAGCAGGCTCCAGGCTCCTAGCTGTCAGCGCAGAGGCCAACCTGGGACTCGAACTCACAAACTGTGAGATCATGACCCTAGCTGAAGCCAAGAGTCGGATGCTTAAGTGACTGAACCACCCAGGTTCCCCTCTAACATAAGTCTTTTCTTTTTTTTAAATTAGTTTAGTGTTTATTTATTTTAGAGAGAGAAGGACAGAATGCAAGCAGGGGAGGGGCAGAGAGAGAGGGAGACAGGATCCGAAGCAGGTTCCAAGCTGTCAGCCCAGAGCCCCACGTGGGGCTCCAACTCATGGACCGGGAGATCATGACCTGAGCCGAAGTCGGACGCTTAACCGACTGAGCCACCCAGGTGCCCCAGTTAAGCTTTAAGAAGGCAGAAAAAGAAGAAGGAAAAGGGGACCATGAACATAATGCAGCAACAGCACAAAACAGCTTGCTGAACTGCCTCCCAACCATTACACAAAGTAGTATGTGTTGATTTAAAAATTTTTAATAATGTCGATTTTTGAATTCCGTAATAACTACAGGAGAAGAAAATTTGACATGGCATTAGAAGTTTCAGAGATGCTATATTTCTGCTCGAAAACAAGCATTCTAGTTACTTAGTCAAGGGCAGCCAAGCTTTATTATACTTTTTTCATTGACATTATAAACAATCATTTTTGGTACAAAACCAGCTTTAGTAATCCTAAAGCCTCCCAAATATATCATTTGTTATACCTGACAGTTCAGTTGTTTCATTTATTCTTTTATGAGCTTAAGACACCCCCGTGATAACGTGCCCTTTGTATTGATTTACTTTTACAAACTCTAAATAAAAATTTGTTTAAAAGCATCATTTTAACTTCCTCCTTCCTGCAGTGCGTAAATCGCAGCAGAGCTTAAAAGACATGCCAATTTGGGAAATAAAGGTGCTTTTGTGTTTGGGTTTACATTCTCAGCATGATCTAGTTGCTAATACCTGCTTGCATTTATATTCCTGTTCTTGATGTTTGTGGGGGAGATTTTTATAGAACAGAACGGAAGCCTTTGTTTCACCTTGGCTTCAAGAGAGAAAAAATGGAAGAAAGTCCAAATCTCCAGCCAAACTGTAAGTTCCTCTGAAATTCACCCTCTGCAAAGTGAAAAAAAAAAAAAAAAACACCCATGAGATTTAAGCTACATCTTACTCTTTCCTGTTCCCTCTGCAATCGTACTCAAAAATCAGTGAACTAAGTCTGCTAGAAGGAGAGCTCAGGTATTTTGTCTTGGAATCCTAAGAAATGGTTCAACCCTCTTGTTTTCCTGATGACAAGAAGTAAAATCACCCCCTTGGGTATTCCTCCCTTCTGTAGCTGAGTTCCTGAGTTTTTTTGTGTGTATTGTGGGTAAGGAGGAGATTTGATGGTCTGACACTGAAAATGGCAGACATTTACTTGTAGACGAGAAATACCTCTCAACCACCCCAGCAGTATTGTAAGGTTGATTTGATCACCTAGACCTGCTGGGTGAATGCACTGAGAGAAAATGACAAAGGTCAGCGTGGGCTAGTTTGGAAAGAATTTAAGGGATTTTTCAAGCAAAGAAAGAGAGATTTTTGTTTTTCTTTTTCTGGAGCAGCTGCCTAGCTTGGGAGAAGTGAGGGCAGGAAGGAGTATGTTATGAATGTCATTTGTTTCGAACAAGCTTTTGGGTGGTAGGTAGATTTCATATCAAATATTCCATATCAAATACCATAGAACTGGTATTTCATTAAATGTGATGCCACCTGAAACCTGTCACCACCGGGCTTTATTTAGATGAGACCCCCCCCCCCCC